CAAATAAGGACGAAGCAAGAATGAACGAAAGCTTCAACATGAACAAGATATGCGGCTGTTGGACGTGTTTCATGTTGAATAATGCATCGGGTAATTGAAGTTCGAGTCAAGGGAAGTAACATCTTAAAAGTTGCGCTATATCGAGTTGGAGTTAACGAAAGTCTCATATAATGATATGTCGAGTTGTTGGATATCGAAAAAACAAAAGTTTCATGGGAAACGATATATCGAGTTGGAGTTAAGGAAAGTTTCATATAACGATATATCGAGTTGTTTGATATCGAAATACAATTGTTTCATAGTAAACGATATATCGAGTTTGAGTTAAGGAAAGTTTCATATAACGATATATCGAGTTGTTGGATATCGAAATACAATTGTTTCATAGTAAACGATATATCGAGTTGGAGTTAAGGAAAGTTTCATATAACGATATATCGAGTTGTTGGATATCGAAATACAATTGTTTCATAGTAAACGATATATCGAGTTTGAGTTAAGGAAAGTTTCATATAACGATATATCGAGTTGTTGGATATCGAAATACAATTGTTTCATAGTAAACGATATATCGAGTTGGAGTTAAGGAAAGTTTCATATAACGATATATCGAGTTGTTGGATATCGAAATACAATTGTTTCATGGTAAACGATATATCGAGTTTAAGTTAAGGAAAGTTTCATATAACGATATATCGAGTTGTTGGATATCGAAATACAATTGTTTCATAGTAAACGATATATCGAGTTTGAGTTAAGGAAAGTTTCATATAACGATATATCGAGTTGTTGGATATCGAATTGACAAAGGTTTCATGGTAAACAATATATCGAGTTTGAGTTACGAAAGTTTGATATAACGATATATCGAGTTGTTGGATATCGAATTGACAAAAGTTTCATGGTAAACGATATATCGACTTGGGAGTTGGCCCTGAAACGATATATCGAGGTGACAGAACCCGATATCCTACTGTATGTGGAATATATGTAAAAGAACAATATCGGCCTGTACGCGCGAGGGAATACATTGCAATGCCGAGATATGACCACGGGACTACTCGCTGGTACATGTACCGAGCCATGGAGGAGCCCTGGTGGTATACCACTGTATACAGAAGCCTAGCTCATATAACCACTGAATTATACACGCGTGGAGCCACGAGACTACTCGCTGGTACATGTACCGAGCCATGGAGGAGCCCTGGTGGTATACCACCGTATACAGAAACCTAGCTGATATAACCACTGATTTATACACGCGTGGAGCCATGAGACTCCACCAAGCATATCGGAATTCGCTGAGCTTTTCACATGGGTTAAGGCGAAATGGGGTTTATCGGACAATGGTATTTCCCTCACATAGCGACGTGTTTTTGTGCCAGTCCTGACTAATGCTGGTTTCATCGTACTAGCCCGACTCCACGCCGACCAATCCTTGTTTTATTTCCCCTAATACCCCGCGCCAGGCAGGGTAACAACAAGTACCATCTTTAAACGTCTTTTGGTTTGACGCGGCCGGGGATCGAATCCCGAACCTTCCGCTCTCCGGACACAGTATACTGACTCCGTGCCGACCTGTCCTTGTTTTATTCCCTTAATACCTAGCGCCAGGCAGGGTAATAACAAGTCCCATCTTGAAACGTCTTTTAGTTTGACGCGGCCGGGCATCGAAACCCGGACCACGTCGCTGTGTAAGTCCAACGATTTTGACCGCGACATTAAACTGAATTTCCCCTCATCACAAGTGTATGAGTTTGGTCAACCTCTCCTCTGAATAGCACTTCCGTGTAGTACAGCGTAGTTTGATAAGACACCCCAGTGGCGTAGGGCGCAGATGTTTATATATTTATTCAAACCAACTAGAAAGCTGATCACAGTCGGGTACTGTCTAGGATTCGAACCCATCGGAACGGATCCTGTCACAAGTAAAGAACGCAACTCTGCGAATCACGGCTACGGACAATTATACAAGCAATGTGGGCTTTCTCCAGCGGATCCTGAAACGTCACAAGGACGCATCTCTACATACCACAAATATAACAATACCGTTCTCAGGTTGTGATCGACACACATACCCGTCAGTTCATTAAAAGGCATTGAATAATGTCGATAAGGCAGTTAAACGTGTGACCAATCACAGACCACACAGCGGACCTTATATACCGGCCTTATCGTGTTTCACACATTCAAGCGGGTCATTTTACTCTGCAGTCACGAATTATGAGTTAAAGTTTGTGGATGCATAATTCATGGACAAGATGTAGCCACATTGTTGTCAGATTACAGAACATTAATAATCATTCATGCATATATAAATATTATAGTCTAATTTGAATCGCGTATATGTAGCTATGGAAATGAAGAATGAATCAATAATGACTTATGGAGATAGTTGAAAATATGAATAAATAAATAAGTAATTGAGAATTGTAATCTATGTTTTGGTACTCAATCCACTTTAGCTCCTTTCCAATTGTGACTTGGATTATTGTGCATGCTTTGGTATATATACTGCCAGGCAAAAGAAAGTATACACCAATGTTTTGGGTGGCTTAAAATAAAACAAACAAGAAATGGTTATTGGATGGTGATGTATTTGATGCGGGTTTCAGTTTTTTTTATTTACCTGTGGTGTTTTTCGGCGACTGTTTTCATCCTTGTAACAGATTGATAACGTTTGTTATTTTGTGGTCACATCCAATTTTCAAATGTGTACTTTCTTTTGCCAGTCAGTATATATTTTTTTATCATCCCTCGGTTATATCTCGATGTGACATTGCGTTATGGATAGCCGAAGGCGAATCTTAACTTACAAAGTTCATGATGTATTTATTTTGAATTACTTATGTCTGAAAGGTTTAATTTCTGAATAAACGTTTGTGTTCAAATAAGGAAACGTTTTTGCTTAGTTTATGTGTGTAGTCAGTACACGTTGGCATCATTATAAACTTTAACACATATTTTGATATGGCTTAACACCTGGTGTCATCGCTTGTTTCACGTGGTCCATTCAAATCATTTTCCTCAGATTTCACTTACGGTCTACGAATCTGTTGAGGTCGATCTTCGAGACTGATAATGATCTAGTTTTGACGTTTTGAATATAAAGGTGCATATAAGAATATTATTTATATCAATATTGGTGTTGAATCACTACGAAATACAGTGGAGTGAGTGAGTGAGTGTATGGTTTTACGCCGCTTTAACAGTATTCCAGCAATATCACGGCGGGGGACACCAGAAATGGGCTTCACACATTGTACCCATGTCGGGAATCGAACCCGGGTCTTCGGCGAGACGAGCGAACGCTTTAACCACTAGGCTACCCGACCGCCCGAAATACATTGGAAAGATTATAGTGGCGGAGTCAGTGTCTGGTAACTGTATACAACGAAACTTCGTTAATCCGAACGACCCTGCTTCAAGAACAACAGTCAGGTTTAACAAACAGTAAACTACGGTTATAACGAACTTAAAGGGACCACTAATTTTAGTTCGTTATAACCGTAGTTCGTTATAAGCATATCTACAGCATACAGTAAACTATGGTTATAGCGAACTCAAAGGGACCACTAATTTAGTTCGTTATAAACGTAGTACGTTATACAGTAAACTATGGTTATCGCGAACTCAAAGGGACCACTAATTTTAGTTCGTTATAACCGTAGTTCGTTATAAGCAAAGTTATATACAGCAAATGGACGGGACCAAAATGACAGTTCGTTATATCCGCCAGTTCGTTATAAGCGTGTTCGTCATAAACGTAGTAGTTCCTTACCAACGAGTCATTGTTCCGGTGTAATGACATCTGCAAGTACACGTATGCATACGTTACTGGACGAAATCGTCATAAAAGCGGAATTCCAGATAAACGATGTCCGGGCAAGCGAGGTTTCATTATATGTCTGCTAAATAAATCTAATCACGAATAGCCACTCTAAAAACTCGTGATCATGTATAATGGGGAAAACATGACAAATTATGCTAAAAAAAATATACCGCCCCACTTCTGATGGCCTTGGGGATTTTTGTATTTTTCCGTGACGGTGCAAAAACACATGATGATGCTGAACACATCTGGTGCTCATTATATGTAGAGTGTATTGTTAAATATAATTACATATCTGATCATCCCTATCTAACGTTGGGCAGTACACATGCACTCATCTGCATTTGATTGGAGAGCCGTTTCAGTGCGCTATTAAAGAAACTCAATCAAGGGGTACAAGAATTTGTCAAAGGTGGGCTGCCTTTAACATACAACATGCCGGAAGAAAGCAAAACAGTTTTCGTTTGGATAGTGGTAGATATATTGTTGACAGTAGATTATGTAGTAATATGTTTTTTGAACGTTGACATGTTTTGTTGACCTCAAAGAGTGGTGTTTGTGTGAGGGGGGGGGGGGGGGGGGGGGGGGGGGGGGGGGGGGGGGGGGAGGATACCGGCCGGTGGGATCGGCGTGTAATCAATCATTCCTGACGTTTTTCATTAACTCTGATGCGCCCCTCGTCAGACAGCTGTTCCCACGTTGCATCGAGATGCCTGTGTCAACTTGATGTTTATAGGAATATGTCACACAAGATGGTCATGAAGTCGCATCCAAATATCTATCATCTGTTTTAAAAGCATGCGTTTCATCTAGCTTATTCAAGTACGTCTATTTGTGTGAGTCGTTTTGCAAATCGATTAAAACTATTTGTTCTTATTTAAGTTAATGACATACAAATTGCAATATTTCAAGTTCTGTCTGAGTATACTCCACGCGAATCCAAATTAGCACTGTTGATCTACGAATGACGACAATTTCCTCTCATTGGCAATCCCAGTGTGGACACGGGTTTCAATTATATCAACAATATGCAACAACAAAACGTTTTCCGAATGACAAGGTAGTCTGTTTACAGACTGCGTCACGTGTTTGAACAGTACACGCTGTCAGAGCCGAGAATCGATAAATTCAGCTGCAATGGAAAAGATGTCTGCCCTTCCTTACCTACCTGAAAACATGGCCGTCTCGGTCAATTACGAAAAATCCTCTGTCATCTCGGTAGCAGTACTGGTTTCCTGTAGCTATTCTCCATAAAATAGTTCCTTGGTATAACGACAGTGTTGATCTCAGCGTCGTGTAAAATGTCCCTCCGACATTCAAGCGCATCACCTTGTCGTTTGAACGGGACATTTTCTTGGGGTTTACTTGTCGTCTGCTTTCTGTCGTCTGCTCGGTTGTCGCCTCAGTTCATGGTGTCGCAACTAGAATCCGTAGCCCGGGGTGTTCCGATGTGTAGAAGTGGTTATTAGTTGTGTGAGTGGCTAATAGCTGTACATACAAACGCGTGGCTACTTCCAATGATTATGACGCCCTCACAATCCCGATATAGCGGGACAGGTGTGTATAACGGGGAGGCTCTCCACCGATGCGCCGCTCGGCTGTTTCCGTTGATCGATGGAGGGAGCAACAATTAAATATTCATGCTTCGGTCTCTGGTATTGCATTCATCGGCCCTTAACACGGATTGCGGTCTTTTTGTATGCGTCATGCATCGCTGACGATAAGGTGTCTACTCGAATGTCACCTGCCAGAAGATATTATATCACCACTCTGACCTCATGCACTGGGATAGAGAAATTTGTCAAAATATATATTTCAATATTCGGCTTGTTAAAATAAGTTTCGTGTTGTTCACGACCCGACCGCCACTAAAACTGCCCCTATTTTTATTCATTTTAAGCTGTTATAAAACGTCAAAATTAACTCAAATTTCATTTTTGCACCGTGGCCTCCATGGCTTGAAGCCCCTCACTCTGCACCAAGAGGCAAAGGCTACAGGCATAAGCGTTATGTGTATAGATTATAGGTATGAGCGTATAATATTAATCGGTTAACAACAGTTAGTGACACAGTACGGAATCACTAATATGAACATTGCGTTAGGGCGGTTTAAAACCAATGTTAAAATGTGGGAGTAGAATAACGCCAAGTCCCCGTAGTGCAGTTATGTTTCAGGTTACAAAACATAATTCTGTAATTTCCTCAGTCGGGACCAAAAGCTGAGAAGGAATTGGTATAGGCTGATATAACTGGGAAGAGTGAGTGAGTGAATTGGGTTTAACGCCGCTTTTAACAGTATTCCAGTTATATCACGGCGTGTCAGCTTAATGTGGGGGGAAACCCCGAAGTGATGCAGGTCTCAGACGTTTACCACTTCGGTGAAACCCACGAGCACGGACAAACCTAGAAACATAATCGGGGCGAACCGGGTTTCGACAACCATAGGTTTCTGGCGTGCCCAAGGGACGCAACTCTGCCCAGCCAATCGCGGCGCCTTAGACGACTGGGCCACCCGTGCCCCCTAACTGGAAAGAGGATGAGTATAGGCTGATAGAGCTGAGAAGAGGTTGAGTATAGGCTGATAGAGCTGAGAACAAGATAAGTATAGGCTGATATAGTTGAGAAGAGGGTGAGTTTAGGCTGATAGAGCTGAGAACAGGATAAGTATAGGCTGATAGAGTTGAGAAGAGGATGAGTATAGGCTGATAGAGTTGAGAAGAGGATGAGTATAAGCTGATAGAGCTGAGAAGAGGATGAGTATAGGCTGATAGAGCTGAGAAGAGGATGAGTATAGGCTGATAGAGTTGAGAAGAGGGTGAGTATAGGCTGATAGAGTTGAGAAGAGGATGAGTATAGGCTGATAGAGTTTAGAAGAGGGTGAGTATAGGCTGATACAGTTGAGAAGAGGATGAGTATGGCTGACAGAGCTGAGAAGAGGATGGGTATAGGCTGATAGAATTGAGAAAAGGATGAGTATAGGCTGATAGAGTTGAGAAGAGGATGAGTATAGGCTGATAGAGTTGAGAAGAGGATGAGTATAGGCTGATAGAGTTGAGGAGAGGATGAGTATAGGCTGATAGAGTTGAGAAGAGGATGAGTATAGGCTGATAGAGTTGAGAAGAGGATGAGTATAGGCTGATAGAGTTGAGAAGAGGATGAGTATAGGCTGATAGAGCTGAGAAGAGGATGAGTATAGGCTGATAGGGCTGAGAAGAGGATGGTTATAGGCTGATAAAGCTGAGAAGACGATGAGTATAGGCTGATAGAGTTGAGAAGAGGATGGGTATAGGCTGATAGAGTTGAGAAGAGGATGAGTATAGGCTGATAGAGTTGAGAAGAGGATGAGTATAGGCTGATAGAGCTGAGAAGAGGATGAGTATAGGCTGATAGAGCTGAGAAGAGGATGGGTATAGGCTGATAGAGCTGAGAAGAGGATGAGTATAGGCTGATAGAGTTGAGAAGAGGATGAGTATAGGCTGACAGAGTTGAGAACAGGATCCGTATAGGCTGACAGAGTTGAGAATGGGATGCGTATAGGCTGATAGAGTTGAGAAGAGGATGAGTATAGGCTCGCACGCACACACACATACATACATAAACAGCGCCTTCCAGAGTGACAGTCCAACCAGGATAGACATATTACTTTCAGAGGAACGTACAGTCGGATCACATAAAGAAGTGTTACCATGGAAACACAGTTGTTGGTGTTTGTGAATGTTGTCATTTCCCCGACTTCAACTCCATCGCGACTAATAAGCCTGACAAAACTGTAGTTTAATGAAACTTTCACTTCGCAAACGAAACCTTTATCAGAACATACACGTCTTCTTGTCTAGAAGGCCGTCAACAAAGCAATACAAAATATCGATGATATACACATGACATATCACAATAATTGACCATAAAAAGTGAACTACACACCACACACATTGTTTGATAAGCACCGTCTTGCTTGACAACGGTATAAGGATTTATACCGAAACGTCACTTTTCACGGTATAAAAGAATTTGTTATCCATAAATTGTGTCCACTTTGAAACCACACACATTAAAAGCAAATGAGAGTTATCTCTCTTGGTCTGAGATAGACATCGGTCCGCGGAGAGGCGGCTGTAAAATCAGCTGTTCTACTCGGATTCATTGTATTTGTGTTTGAAACCTCTGACAAACCAGGATTCTCTAAATTCGGATTCTCTCCATTTTCTGTTACCGTTTGCCTCGTATAGTTTGGGTCGTAATTAACACTGATGCCTGTGTTATCAGCACATATTCAAGGAGTGAGCCGGTCCTAATTTAGTTATTTGTATACTCACACTGTATAAGAAGACCCGTGTCACTTTCCTCCACATCGGTTCTCACAGAACTAAATTGTGAAATCAGTAAACCACCACACAAGGACAATTAATACTCAATACATGAGGTCAAAACGCACTGTTTTAGGTTTATAATTACAAAGAGACAACGAAATGAGACCAACCAGTATCAGCAGCAACAGTTTGTTTGTTTGTTGTTTAACGCCGCACTCAGCAATATCCAGCTCTATGACGGCGGTCCGGAAATAATCGAGTCATGACCAGACAATCCAGTGATTGATATCATGAGCATCGATCCACCCAAATAGGATCGATGACATGCATCAACCAAGTCAGCGAGCCTGACCACCCGACCCCGTTAGTCGCCTTTTACGACAAGCAGAATGGCATGTTACGGCAAGCATGGGTTGCTGAAGACCTGTTCTACCCCGGATCTTCACGGGCCTGTGACCAAGTGCAGTGTGCCAGTGTCGGGAGATTTGTTTGTGAATCTCGTGGTCTTAGGATGAGAGCAGTGCCTTCTGGGGGTAATTTCGGCATATAAAATTAAATGAAGCAACCGCACAGAAAAGGAGTACAAATAGCATATACATATATATTTCGTCTGGTTGGCACCATGGGGAACAACACTGTTCTTTTCTCCCCACACTGTGTGCAGCTGATAAACTCGCAAACTACGCTGTCGACTACGACATGGAAATAACTGCGGATCGCGTCTTTCACCCCCCTGCTTGCCAAATCCTACCGTCAGATCCAAGCAAGCATTCCTCTAACGGCTATCCAGATCATCTACCGATTCATTCTTTCTGATGTTCACAAAACCAACCTCCGAAATAGGCTCATAGAGAGTCTCAGAATTCATTCAACCCAAACTTTTCAATTTTTCGAAGCATCCCCAGAAAGACATTATTCCGACAAACAACCTGTTGGATCTGCAACATGTGGAATGGACGTTCAGATGCTGGGTGATCGAGATGGAGATGGGGATGACGATCGCTCACAAAAAGGTTTGTTTATAATATATTGTCAGGAATGAAGGGGTTCAGAGTTGCGTCCCTTGGGCACGCCAGAAACCTATGATTGTCGGTTCGAATCCCAGTTCGCCCCAATTATGTTTCTAGGTTTGTCAGCACCATACCCGTGCTCGTGGGTTTCACCCAAGTGGTAAACGTCTTAGACCTGCATCACTTAAGGCTTTCCTCCCACATTAAGCTGACACATCGCGATATGACTGGAATAATGTTAAAAGCGGCGTTAAACCCAACTCACTCACTCACTCAGGAATGAAGCTTACTTTACACTTTTCTTAATGTTTTTTCTTCTCCTTCTATTATTATTATCGTTTGTTTTAATGAGAAAATTACCGAATATATCCTTAATATTTTCATACCAACATGTATTCAGTTTCAATATCGATATTTGTCTTGGAATAGTTTAGTTTCTCGTGAACAAAACACCACGAAAACATACTGTCCTCACCCACAGTTAATTCTCACCACGTGACCTGAGTTACAATAAACTAGTGCTAAGCATAGCGGAGTTATGCCCCCTTTTCTTTGTACGCGTGTAACCTCTCTGTCGCCTTTGACGTCACAGAGAAGAAATAGATAAGTTTTCGTCATTTACGGCAGGCTATTTTGTGCATTGAATGTATGTCCTTAAAGATACGCATGTTACTCCATTTGATACATAGTTATGTCGTTCAGATATTTGGAAGTGTTTTGTTCGCTCACACTTTCCGTAAAGACGCAGCATATATTCTCGGACAACACTTATAATTAGCGGTTTTCAAACCGGTTTAATATTTGCAGTAAAATTTACACTATCAGATAGGAAATTTAATATTCTACATCTCTGCGTAATTTTATAGCCGGAGGTAGATCCAGTGCCGCGTGAGCGCAATTGTCGCACAACCTTCACTTTTGCGATCTTAGGAAAATGTGTGTCAGAAAAAAATCTCGATATCCAGCGGGTTAAATCGAAGTTGAATCAGACTTAATATTAACTAATAATAATAATAAATTAATAAGAATGATATTCAATTCACCAATCCGAATGGCGGCTTGGTTCAAATTTCCGAATGCAAAGATACTAAAGTAAACATATTTATTCGCAAGGAAAATTCCGAAAAATTGTCGGGATCTTATCCCATCTGACAACGTTTCTCAGCCAATCAGATTGCACACTCCCATGTCACAGTTTTGCTTTGAGTATAGCGCATGCGCAGTCGTTGGTAATTTGTTTCTGTTTGTCGGCCCCCGCCGTGATGCTGCCGGACTCCTGCTATAGGCGGACTGACCCCAACTGGTCCCTCACTTTCTGTTCAGTAGAGACGCTATGCTGTGGTGCACAGAGGGGTGAATAAACATGTATGTGCCTTCTTCTCTTTTCAAATATGAACCAATCAGATGATCTGCTGCTGCTATACATTCATATCCCTGGCACTCTCCATCATCCAACTCTCTGTGCGTTACCTTTCCATTTCCCTTGAGCATTGCCCTAAACAACCGTCGCTTCGTCTTGTCCTGAAGGAACTTGTGCATTGTCTGGTTTAGGAAATCCAGAGGTTGGTTAAAAAAATCCTCTGCGGATATCTGGTTGTCATGGTGATACGCCGTGACGAACAGTTTACAAATATTGGGAAAACCGTAAGGGCAGTCTATCTCACATATGGCTTTAACCCTTTCCTTATCAAAATCCAAATCTCTCAATTCAGGCACCGCATTCCAAATTTGTATTTTTTCGTCAACATCTCTATCCGACGAAACATTGACAGTGTTTTCGTCGTTGAACATATATGTCTTTAACCTTCCTAAATCAGGTGAGGCCGATTGCAATATATAATCTCGACCAACAAACAGAACGGTTACCCTTTTTCGTCTTTCCACTATGTCTCCCTTGTTGAACTCCATCGTACGCAGAATGTGGCCAAGAACAGGTCTCCATCGCGACCACTCCGCGACGCTGAAATCCAAGTCTCCCAATACGTCATCGAGCATGATGACGGGCCCAGAGCAGGTCAGCGTGACCTCGGAGAACTCTGCTGGGGACTCGACCTGGAAGACTTGTCTCCCCTTGCTATGCTGGTCTTTGAGGGCCATGTAAGCAATCACCGACTTCCCTTCTCCAGGGCTCCCCTTAATAATCACCCAAGTGGCTCCTTCGTCGAGTTTATCCGTCACCTTTTTGAGAGCCTCAGTTTTCACCATGTCTTGCGTCCATGTTTCAATCCTCGTCGCGGTTCTTTCTGCGACATAAAGTGGAAGAATAATATTCGTATCAGTTTCATTCCTCGCGGAGCGATGAAATCATTTTAGCACCATGATTAAAATATGAAAACATTTGTTAAATATCCCTCATTGTACAGTTGACGGTATACATAATGTGCAAATCCTGCACATTGAAATCCATGTTACGAACCGGATGTGTAGTTTGTTACTCAATTTTGATTGGACTGTGCATAGACTCGTTAGTCCAGCCAAAATGTAACTCCGGAATTCCAGCCGAGGTCGGCAAGGGTGGAAACTGGACTTTTATAGTCAGTTGTCTTTCGGGAAGGTAACATGTCATGTCTGCATCTCCAGAGCTGTTAAGTTACAAATTGTAGCAACTGTTTTCAGGCCATGTTATGCAGTTACTCACTCCGTATCTTCTGTGCTGCAGTCAGCGGGGCCTCCTCCTCCTCCCCCTGGCCGGGGGCAGGTTGACCAATGTTCTGAGTTCCTCCAATGGTCAGGTTCCTGGCTTTTGGGGCCGTCACCTGCTGCTCCACCTTGATGAAGTTGTACTGGACTGCTGAGTGAGTGAGTGAGTGAGTGAGTGGACTGCTGAGTGAGTGAGTGAGTGAGTGAGTGAGTACCAACATTACAGTGAGTGAGTGAGCCTGATTACCAAGATTACAGTAAGTGAGTGAGTGAGCCTGATTACCAACATTACAGTGAGTGAGTGAGTGAGTGAGCCTGATTACCAAGATTACAGTGAGTGAGTGAGTGAGCCTGATTACCAACATAACAGTGAGTGAGTGAGTGAGCCTGATTACCAAGATTACAGTGAGTGAGTGAGTGAGTGAGTGAGTGAGTGAGTGAGCCTGATTACCAAGATTACAGTGAGTGAGTGAGTGAGCCTGATTACCAACATAACAGTGAGTGAGTGAGTGAGCCTCATTACCAACATTACAGTGAGTGAGTGAGTGAGTGAGTGAGTGAGCCTGATTACCAACATTACAGTGAGTGAGTGAGTGATTGAGCCTGATTACCAACATGACAGTGAGTGTGTGAGTGAGTGAGTGAGCCTTATTACAAACATTACAGTGAGTGAGTGAGTGAGCCTGATTACCAACATTACAGTGAGTGAGTGAGTGAGCCTGATTACTAACATTACAGTGAGTGAGCCTGATTACCAACATTACAGTGAGTGAGTGAGCCTGATTACCAACATAACAGTGAGTGAGTGAGCCTTATTACAAACATTACAGTGAGTGAGTGAGTGAGCCTGATTACCACCATTACAGTGAGTGAGTGAGCCTGATTACCAACATAAGAGTGAGTGAGTGAGTGAGCCTGATTACCAACATAACAGTGAGTGAGTGAGTGAGCCTGATTACTAACATAACAGTGAGTGAGTGAGCCTGATTACCAACATTACAGTGAGTGAGTGAGTGAGCCTGATTACCAACATAACAGTGAGTGAGTGAGCCTGATTGCCAACATTACAGTGAGTGAGTGAGCCTAATTACAAACATTACAGTGAGTGAGTGAGTGAGCCTGATTACCAACATAACAGTGAGTGAGTGAGTGAGTGAGCCTGATTACCAACATTACAGTGAGTGAGTGAGCCTGATTACCAACATAACAGTGAGTGAGTGAGCCTGATTACCAACATTACAGTGAGTGAGTGAGTGAGCCTGATTACCAACATAACAGTGAGTGAGTGAGTGAGCCTAATTACAAACATTAGAGTGAGTGAGTGATTGAGCCTGATTACCAACATAACAGTGAGTGAGTGAGTGAGTGAGTGAGCCTGATTACCAACATTACAGTGAGTGAGTGAGTGAGCCTAATTACAAACATTAGAGTGAGTGAGTGATTGAGCCTGATTACCAACATAACAGTGAGTGAGTAAGTGAGTGAGCCTGATTACCAACATTACAATGAGTGAGTGAGTGAGCCTGATTACCAACATTACAGTGAGTTAGTGATTGAGCCTGATTACCAACATAAAAGTGTGTGAGTGAGTGAGTGAGTGAGCCTGATTACCAACATTACAGTGTGTGAGTGAGTGAGTGAGCCTGAATACCAACATTACAGTGAGTGAGTGAGGACAACATTACAATGATAACCTCAATATACCTGATTATCATGATTATTCCAATTCCCCTGGTTATCTTAAATCCCCTGGTTATATCAATTCCCCTTGTTATCTTAATTCCCCTTGTCATCCTGACTTCCAATATTGCCCTGATCATCTTAATTCTCCATCAGAAGGAGTGAGTGAGTGAGTGAGTGAGTGAGGTTTTACGCCGCTTTCAGCAATATTCCAGCAATATCACGGCGGGGGACACCAGAAATGGGCTTCACACATTGTACCCATGTCGGGAATAGAACCCGGGTCTTCGGCGTGACGAGCTAAAGCTTTAACCACTAGGCTACCCGACCGCCCCCCATCAGAAGGAAATATGTTTTGAGGCCTACCTGCAACGGTTCGATCAGAGGTTGCTGAGTCCCAGAGTGAAGGCGCAGTCAGATTGTCTTTTGTTGTCAGCAGATGAAGCCCTTCTTTTGCCATGACCTGGTCTATTGCTGCTTGTAGACCATGCTCTTTTGTTGCCATGACATTGTCTGGTGTTGCTTGTAGACCCTGTTCTTTTGTTGCCATGACATGGTCTCTTGCTGCTGGTAGACCCTGTTCTTTTGTTGCCATGACATTGTCTGGTGTTGCTTGTAGACCCTGTTCTTTTGTTGCCATGACATGGTCTCGTGCCGCTGGTAGACCCTGTTCTTTTGTTGCCATGACATGGTCTGGTATTGCTGGTAGGCCCTGACTTTGTGTCGCCATGACATGGCCTGGTATTGCTGGTAGGCCCTGACTTTGTGTCGCCATGACATGGCCTGGTATTGCTGGTAGTCCCTGACTTTGGGTTGCCATGACATGGTCTGGTATTGCTGGTAGACCCTGACTTTGGGTTGCCATGACATGGCCTGGTATTGCTGGTAGACCCTGACTTTGGGTTGCCATGACATGGCCTGGTATTGCTGGTAGACCCTGTCTTTGGGTTGCCATGACATGGTCTGGTATTGCTGGTAGACCCTGACTTTGGGTTGCCATGACATGGTCTGGTATTGCTGGTAGACCCTGACTTTGTGTCGCCTTGACATGGTCTGGTATTGCTGGTAGTCCCTGACTTTGTGTCGCCTTGACATGGCCTGGTATTGCTGGTAGTCCCTGACTTTGTGTCGCCTTGACATGGCCTGGTATTGCTGGTAGTCCCTGACTTTGTGTCGCCTTGACATGGCCTGGTATTGCTGGTAGTCCCTGACTTTGTGTCGCCTTGACATGGCCTGGTATTGCTGGTAGTCCCTGACTTTGGGTTGCCATGACATGGCCTGGTATTGCTGGTAGTCCCTGACTTTGTGTCGCCTTGACATGGCCTGGTATTGCTGGTAGTCCCTGACTTTGTGTCGCCTTGACATGGCCTGGTATTGCTGGTAGTCCCTGACTTTGTGTCGCCATGACATTGTGTGTTGTTCTATCTCCTAAAGGGGAAGAAGTCAAACCGGAAGCACATAGTAAAGGCGTGATATTGGCACACTTAAGAATCTGTTTCGTCAGGATGTCTGTTTCTGAAATGATTAAAATGAAGAATAAAGAGACTACTACATCGTATCATCGTAATGCATATTTTTCGACCATCGACCCTACTGCTTTGGGAAACGCCCAAACAATGGAATGAAAAAAAGAAAAGGTGATCTACTTTAAGATACAATTATGTTTTTCATTTTCAGCATTGTCTGGTGAATTTAAATAGGAAATAATATAATTGATTATCCATATAATCTTATACGACAATGTCGGGCAAGTAAATGTGTTTTGTAACTTAAAACGCACCTCGATCCACTTTTCGGTAGGTATCGTGTTGGACAGTGTTTACTATGACATTAGTAGGACCTGCCCGGGAATAATATAAGTCACCGCAGCCGTCCTCCTCTTCCTCGCCGAATCTTTCTTCTCCACACTCATCATGATGACCTTCCTCGTCAGTGTCATCTCCTCGCCCCCCTTCTCCATCTTCGTTCTTCGTGTCCTCTTCCTCGTTGCAGCCTGGTCCTTCTTCCTCTCTGTCTCTGTCTGCTCGGCAGTCATCTTCAGCATCTTCTTCATCAGCCGTCACATATTCATCATCATCATCATCATCATCATCATCATCATCATCATGAACGTCTGTGTCCTCCATTTGTCCTCCAATACTACAACGTGCCTTGTGTAGCTGACGTGTTCATGGCAGGTGAACAAAGGGTAGCAATGGAGAAAAAAACTATATGCTTTGAAGTTAGACCTGTCAGAAAATACAGTGGTGCGTTATTATTATTACAAATAAAGGACCGCCTCCGTGGTCTAGTGGTAGAGCGTCCGCCCGGAGAGCGGAAGGTCCAGGGTTCGATCCCGGGCCGCGTCATACAAAAAGACGTAAAAAGATTGTACTTGTTGTTACCCTGTCTGGCGCTCGGCATTAAGGGGCTAAAACAAGGACTGGTCGGCTCGGAGTCAGTATACTGTGTCTGAGTGGGGTATTCATGTTAAACTGCGGCATGATATCTCAGTGAGCTAGCACTATAAATCGGCATCAGTCCGGACTAGTACAAGCAGCCACACACACACGTACACGTGCATGCACGTCGCTATATAAGTGCAATAATCTTGGACGCGACGTTAAACCCAATTTCACCTCACCTCACCTACAAATAAAGGGATCGGATCGAGTCAGGCTTAGTGACTTGGTTGATTGCACGTCATCGTATCCAACTTGTTGTTTAACGCCGCACTCAGCAAAATTTCAGCTATATGACGGCGGTCTGTCAATAATCTGGACCAGGCAATCCAGTGATTGACATCATGAACATCGATCGATGCAATTGGGAAACGATGACATGCATAGACCATGTCAGCGAGCCTGACCACCCGATCCTTAAAACAAGCATAGTCGCCTTTTACAGCAAGCAAGGCCTATTCTTCCTATGATCTTGACGGGTCTCCATGCTGTTGATGTCAATCTCTGGATTGTCTGGTCCAGGCTTGATTTTATACAGAACGTCGAAAAAACAGCTGGAATATTGCTGAGTGCGGCGTAAAACAACAAAACACAGTGTTGAATCACGTGTGGGAGTAAATCATGGGAGTACATATGTACTCACGAGTGCAGGCACGGTGCTGATCGTGACAAACTCAGAATCATAATGAAGGCGAATCTGGTAACACAATGAATAATTAGTCACATGCGTCGATTTCGTCACCCGTGTTGAGGTGAATCAGTGAACTAATTAAATAATGAAAGCACTCACTTGCTCAATTTCCGCTACGTGTACATCACAGAGGTTGGTTTATGTTTGTTTAATCTTCCATTACGAGGTTTTTATCAGCTTGAGACCGTCTCCGTGGTCTAATGGTAGAGCGTCCGCCCGGAGTGCGGAAGGCCCGGGGTTCGATCCCCGACCGCGTCCTACCAAAAGACGTTAAAAGATGGTACTTGTTGTTACCCTGTCTGGCGCTCGGCATTAAGGGGCTTAAACAAGGACTGGTCAGCTCGGAGTCAGTAAACTGTGTCTGAGTGGGATATTCATGTTAAACTGCGGCATGGTATCTCAGTGAGCTAGCACTATAAATCGGCATCAGTCCGGTCTAGTACAAGCAGCCACACACACACACACATTCACACACGTGCATGCACGTCGCTATATAAGTGCAATAATCTTGGACGCGACGTTAAACCCCATTTCACCTCACCTTATCAGCTTGTATCAAATGAGGTCCCGCTGTGAACAAACACGGATCCACACAACTCTGACATCTGACTCTATCACACTGTGTCTGATCTCAAGTAGACACAGTTGTACATACTTCCTGCTACATCCGCTGTATCTGGTTTGAAACCAACAGTTCCGACACGTCATCATCAAGCTGTTTCCGTTTACGAAAACAAAGCGGATAGAGAGTAGTTTCTGTTTTGAGTAATACCATATATGACGGCGGTCTGTATAATCGAGTCTGGACCAGACAGGCCAGTGATTGACATCATGAGCATCGGATAGAGAGTAGTTTCTGTTTTGAATAATACCATATATGACGGCGGTCTGTATAATCGAGTCTGGACCAGACAGGCCAGTGATTGACATCATGAGCATCGGATAGAGCGTAGTTTCTGTTTTTAATAATACCATATATGACGGCGGTCTGTATAATCAAGTCTGGACCAGACGGGCCAGTGATTGACATCATGAGCATCGGATAGAGAGTAGTTTCTGTTTTAATAATACCATATATGACAGTCCAGTGATTATCATATCATAATAATGATGGTGTGGTTCGATCCTTGTATTACTGCCTGCTGTTGTGTCTCAGAGGTTCATCCGGGGTACAACCCAGAACATGTAGAGGGCGTCATGAAAAATGAGATAAATATAATTCAAATTGTCCGAAAGTTCTTGTTGGACTGACCAGGGAGCTCTTCCTGGGAGAAGTCCCTTTCGCTGTCTGGGCTGCGTGTTGAGGGGGCAACGGCCCTGAGCCTAACCAGCCTGACTGTGGCAGGATCATCCAAACCCTCGTTTTTGCTGAATTTTTTATTTTAATCTGCATACAATAATTAATAGTGTGTGATGATGATAATAATTACAATAATTATTGTGTCTCCTCCAGCCCATCCTTACATGTATTATTGATGGTGATCATAATTACAATGGGCTCTCTTCCAACCATCCTTGCATAATCATAATGATGCTGACCCGTGAAGATCCGGGTTAGAATAGGTCTTCAGCAACCCATGCTTGCCATATGCTTGTCGTAAGACGCGACTAACGGGATCGGGTGGTCAGGCCTCTAATTTTATTTCGTTATAACCGCAGTTCGTTATAAGCATATGTACAGCATATATATAACAATTGATCGGGAGCAAAGAGTATGTTCGTTACATCCGTCAGCTCTTTATAAGCGTGTTCGTTATAAACGTAGTTTACTGTAAAAACATGTTCTATTTTTGAAGGTCGTTGGTTGGTTTGTTGTTTTCGCCGGGGTAGAATATGTCTTCAGCAATTCATGCTTGCCTCAAAAGGTGACTATGCTTGTCGTAAGAGGCGACTAACGGGATCGGGTGGTCAGCCTCGCTGACTTGGTTAATGCATGTCATCGTATCCCAATTGCGTGGATCGATGCTCATGATGTCAATCACTGGATTGTCTGGTCCAGACTCGATTGTTTACAGACCGCCGTCATATAGCTGGAATATGGCTGAGTGCGGCGTTAAACAACAAACAAACAAACAAACAAACAAACATAATGATGGTGATGATAATTCCAATAGCCTCTCCTCGTAACCATCCCTGCATATATTAATGATGATGCTGATGTAGACAATAATAGTGATAATAGTAAATTGACGTGAGTTGTATTGTTGTTGTATTCAAGATTATTGCACTTGATTATTGCACAGCGACGTGCATGCACGTAAGTGTGTTGTGCGTGTGTGTGGCTGCTTGAACTGGGCCGGACTAATGCCGGTTTTACAATGCTAGCCCACTGTAATACAATGTCGCAGTTTAACGTGAATACCCGACTTAAACACAGAAGCTGACTCTGAAAGCCAGGCAGGGTAACAAGTACCATCATTTAAGCATGAAATGGGTCAGCCCGTGTGCAACCCGCAGAGCACCCGTGTCACATGCGGGTTACACGCGTTCTCAGTGCGTGTAAGGGGAATTTACTTCCAGGCAGCCGTGTACGCCACTGCGCAAAGGCGGCGTGCTTTTTTTAGTTTTTTGTTTGGGGCGGTCGGGTAGCCTAGTGGTTAAAGCGTTCGCTCGTCACGCCGAAGACCCGGGTTCGAATCCCGACATGGGTACAATGTGTGAAGCCCATTTCTGGTGTCCCCCGCCGTGATATTGCTGGAATATTGCTAAAAGCGGCGTAAAACCATACTCACTCACTCACTAGTTTTTTGTTTGAGTTACATGAGGATGAATAGTTGGAAAGATGTAAACAAACTGTTAAAAGAAAGTATATCTTTGTCTCACATATGTATAATGATATGCATACATACGAAATACATAAATAATTAGGAAAATATTTTATTAAACATTCCTCATTGTAAATTATTACACTAAACATGTTTTTGTTATACGGCACAATTATTAGAGGGCGTCATGCTCTGCCCTAGACTGGCTTACCTACCCTAGAGCCTTTGCGATCCTCGCCTGCTTCCGCTAGGAGGCGAAGAGCATGGAACCTGACCAGCTCTACCCGACCTACACTATATTTCCCTATACAGCATTACGTGCGGTGAAACGTTGACCCATTTCCGTTTTGCGGGTCCATTGTCTGTTGAGAGGGACGGGGACAGGCCTATAGCATATCGCTGTGTGGGCAACGTTGACCCATTTCCGTTTTGCGGGTCCATTGTCTGTCGAGAGGGACGGGGACAGGCCTATAGCATATCACTGTGTGGGCAACGTTGACCCATTTCCGTTTTGCGGGTCAATTGTCTGTCGAGAGGGACGGGGACAGGCCTATAGCGTATCGCTGTGTGGGCAACGTTGACCCATTTCCGTTTTGCGGGCTCTTGTCTGTCGAGAGGGACGGGGACAGGCCTATAGCAAATCGCTGTGTGGGCAACGTTGACCCCATTTCCGAGGTATTAGCACTTTTGGACAGTGTGTATAGTTGACGTGTCAGGCGACAGGAGTAAACATGTTTGCAGTAGGGAGGTAGATCTCACAGAGAAGTGTGGCTCATGGTTTAAAATGCACTCACGACGTTGTGGATTTCAATTTTAACAATATATGCATGTCTCCACTGATCTGCTCCATTACAAACATTATTATTATTGTAGCTATTACTTTGAAAAGATTGATCTTGAAAAAATATTAATAACTTTACCGCGGTGGATATATCAATGTCACCAGTTAGATATATCCATGTCACCAGTATCATGTATACCACTATGATTGTGTCAACTTAATACCCCTTGTTCTTTGAAAACAATAACAAATGTTTCAGGAAGTCATTGTTGTGAAAACATATTGCTAGTTTTGTTTTCATAATATGTTTGTTTTCTACTTTTAGATAGGTATGTTATTGCGCCCTGTTGTCCCTCTGCATCAACGTTATCTTGCAGGGTATTCCGGCGTGATTATAAACTCTGTGATGAAGGGCCCCGTTCCACAAAGCGATCTCCGTGGTCTAGTGGTAGAGCGTCAGCCCGGAGAGCGGAAGGTCCGGGGCTCGATCCCGGGCCGCGTCATACCAAAAGACGTTAAAAGATGGTACTTGTTGTGACCCTGTCTGGCGCTCGACATTAAGGGGCTAAAATGGTCGGCTCGGAGTCAGAATACTGTGTCTGAGTGGGGTATTCATGTTATACTGCGGCATGGTATCTCAGTGAGCTAGCACTATAAATCGGCATCAGTCCGGACTAGTACAAGCAGCCACAGACACACACGTGCATGCACGTCGCTATATAAGTGCAATAATCTTGGACGCGACGTTAAACCCAATTTATAGGATTATGCTGTGGATCGCCTGTTCACAAACGACGGTGAAATCTCAAAAATATTATTAGTGGCTAGAAAAAAAATAACAACACTAAACTCGCTCCCGTGTAATAACAAGTTTATAAAACTTTCGCTCGTCATATGCCAGAATCATTCACTCTTTTGGTATTACACGGGAGCTCGTTTAGTATTCTATATATTCTCGAGTTTCTCAACTTTGATGCGTAAGTAAGTGAGTATGGTTTTACGCCGCTTTTAGCAATATTCCAGCAATATCACGGCGGGGGACACCAGAAATGGGCTTCATACATTGTACCCATGTAGGGAATCGAACCCGGGTCATTGGCGTGACGAGCTAACGCTATAACCACTAGGCTAGCCTACCGCCCCTATAAACTTGGTATTACACGGGAGAGAGTTTAGAGTTCAATATGTTATACAAGGGTAGACCTTTGAATACAATGCATGGTAACTGCATCACAATGCTTTGCAGACCACTGTGGTGACATCACTTACCATGACGTCACAATCAAGTGACATCACTAATCTCGCTGCTTCTGAAACTGGTTTGCACTACTGTTAGCAAAACATCACATTATGAAAAAATTGGAAGACTGATTTTAGATGATAGATATAAAGAATTCAGTGAAACTGTGGACACTTATTCCGGGTCTGTATGAATGAATGTCGGTAAGATAAAATAGTTGTCAAACGATCTCTCGGGACATAAGGTGTGATGTACTCTCTGTGTGAGCCTGACGGCTCGGGGTACATATTCTCGTTCACAGGGTACACCTTACCACTCCTTATCATCCAAAACTGTCTCCCATCGCTTGAGTGAGCTCAAGCGATATTTTCATTGTAGATATGCTACAATGAAATTGCATCACAATGCTTTGCAGTCCATTGTGTCGTCATTGGTTACCATGACGTTACAATAAAATGACATCACTAATGGCTGCTACTGAAGCTGTTAGCAGTACTTTATACACTTAAGACTTTGCTTATTACCGTCTTCAAACTGAAAAAGCTGGAAGAATGATGTTGGATGATAAATAGAATCTCACCCTTGTCTTTTGATATCTAATAGATCAACACTCGTTGATAAAAGTGGACACACTCCTCGGGAAGCCTTGGCGTTTTCCACTTTTATCAACTTGTGTTCATATATTTGATATATAAAGACACTCGGATGAGATTCTCTATATATACCCTCACAATCGGTTGACAACTTATAGTGTAGGGCGATATAACGGGCGATATAAGTTTGGTGGCATAAATGTATTTTTGTTATCGAAAATTCTCGTTATTTCAATTACTTGTTTAGTTTTTAGAAATTTAGATTTTTCTCGTTTCCTCGAATATATATCA